TTTACAGGGTTAAATAGGTATTAACTATAATAAGAATGAAATACCGTTTATGATTGTATATTTTTCTAACATATGTAAAAAAAAATACTGGGAGATTTTTCTGGGAGTAGGAAACCAATCGGAAATGTTTACATTGAAATTAATGGGAATTTTATTTCAGAATATACGAATTTTCACCTTACGAAAACTTTTCATAAAACAAATTACACTCGCAAATCGAGGGATAAGTACATATAAAAAAATTATAATTACACGGTTTGGGGGATTTTGTGTTTCCTTGAAATTCCTAACACTCTCTTACAAAAATCCATATTGATTGTTAATCATTTGTTTTCAAGATACCATACTTCTGAGCCATAAAAACAATATTTTTATTGCCGTGTTGCAAATATTTTGTTTCTTTCCTTGTAATTAATTTTTCCCATAATACGTGAAGGTTTGGACTAGAATCATCTGATTCAAGACAGCGACCAGTGGCGGGCTCTTGTGAAAATAGTTAGAAACCTTTGGGTGAATGAAAGACGATCATTTTATTTAACATCTCAGCTATTATTAGCTTCTTAAGGAGGTCTCTTCCATGGAGTGATAATAATTATTTTTGTTGTAAAAACTAGAATATGTCAGAATTTCCTGTGATCCCCGAGTTAACTTTCGCATGTAAACGGTTAGGAAGACGAACAACGGAGCTGTCATAATTCTTTTCGACCCTTGTGACAGATGAGCAGGAGCGTGTTCAGTACCTCTAAGTCACGAGCGGACACTGTGGAGCGAGCGGACGTAGGGGCGAAGTCCCAATATTCTGGACAAAGAAAGAAGCGCTCTGAGGACGAAGCCTGTCCAACAAGAAATCTGTTGCATACCTTGAGGAAATCCAATGCTTCAGACCGAACACCACCAATCACAATCCTTCCTGAGAAGCAAACTATGACTCGTCTAGTCGGTAACCTAAGATTGCTTCGCATGTTCACAAGATCACGCCACCAGAGACTGTTTTGTCTGACCCCAGAACACATCATAACGCATCACTTCTTTAAGATCCGTTTTAATAGTATCCTCTGCTATTGGAAGCGTAAGATTGTGTATGGATTTCTCATTCTACCCACGCGTGTTACATGGTTCTGTTTTGTTTATTTAATGATGCTTTTAAATTTGAAAGTGACTGTCTTCGGAGATGTTGCGTTGTGTAGTTTCGTCGAAACTGGCGACGTGAGGTGCTTACTGCCCCGATCATGAAGGCGATGAGAAGACATTAAGAACCCATGGAATGTCGGTAAATTCTACGAGACTACACAATGCAACATACCAAAGTACAGTCATCTTCATATTCGCTGCCCTGATAGGTTTATTTTTTGTAATAAATTGAAGGGTAAGAAAAGTTATCTAGATATATGTTACTATCATAACACCTGCCAAAAGGACTAAGAACCTTAGAACAGCATACCTCTGAGTCTAGATTTCGAAACCAGGGACAGATAAGGATGTTGCCGAGGTAATTAGTTCTGTGTAATACGTATGCTCACGGAAAATGCGTGAGTCAGAAGTGACAATAATGAGATTATTTAAATATTTATGAACATTTCATTTATCATTCGGAATTGATATTTCCGCATCACTCATGATAGACCCATTTATATACATGAAGTTCATATAATAGAATGGCATGTGTCCACTTTGTTCAAATCATCAGTAATATCGAATGAATGAGTACGATCATGACAAGCAATGTTACGACTCGGAACATGGTTAAAACTGACAGAATTAAGCAAAGTTTCAACACTCCTAGTACCGAAACTTGTTACGACCCTCGGACATCTCATTAAATTAAAGGATGAGGTTTAATGGCGTGTACCGTCCTCATGAAGAACTTCTTCGGTCCATTTATCACACATCTTAAGCCATCATAATTCCTTTGCTAAAATTAAATGTTTAATGTAGTATGTATCGACTTGTCAATGCCATTGACATCTTTCTATTTGTAATCGCCATTCTTCTATATCCACCCTTCGTCTTTCGTCCACTCATCTCTCTGCCACTACATCTCTGTTTCTCTGCATCCGTCCGATGGTCACCACCCCCCCTGTAGTGGCACCAATTCCAAAAATTGATTGGGCCATTTGATTGTTATATGTCGTTCTTTGGACGAGTCTGTACTATACGAACTGATTAGCTTTTTGTAATCCAAACTGAATACACCAATCCCTTGATTTACAAACTTCAGTTTTACGAATTTCCACTACAACAAACTGTAAATTTATACCCGTTTCTTGATTTACGAACATCATTTTCGCTACAGCGAAGAATTAATGTCTCGTAAGTAAAGGATGCGGAAAAACACGGATATCATTTTTAAACTGAAACTGCTGTAAAATGTGAACGTTTAATTTAACAATTCAATAGTCCTTTACAGGGTTAAATAGGTATTAACTATAATAAGAATGAAATACCGTTTATGATTGTATATTTTTCTAACATATGTAAAAAAAAATACTGGGAGATTTTTCTGGGAGTAGGAAACCAATCGGAAATGTTTACATTGAAATTAATGGGAATTTTATTTCAGAATATACGAATTTTCACCTTACGAAAACTTTTCATAAAACAAATTACACTCGCAAATCGAGGGATAAGTACATATAAAAAAATTATAATTACACGGTTTGGGGGATTTTGTGTTTCCTTGAAATTCCTAACACTCTCTTACAAAAATCCATATTGATTGTTAATCATTTGTTTTCAAGATACCATACTTCTGAGCCATAAAAACAATATTTTTATTGCCGTGTTGCAAATATTTTGTTTCTTTCCTTGTAATTAATTTTTCCCATAATACGTGAAGGTTTGGACTAGAATCATCTGATTCAAGACAGCGACCAGTGGCGGGCTCTTGTGAAAATAGTTAGAAACCTTTGGGTGAATGAAAGACGATCATTTTATTTAACATCTCAGCTATTATTAGCTTCTTAAGGAGGTCTCTTCCATGGAGTGATAATAATTATTTTTGTTGTAAAAACTAGAATATGTCAGAATTTCCTGTGATCCCCGAGTTAACTTTCGCATGTAAACGGTTAGGAAGACGAACAACGGAGCTGTCATAATTCTTTTCGACCCTTGTGACAGATGAGCAGGAGCGTGTTCAGTACCTCTAAGTCACGAGCGGACAACAATCTCCAGGGACGATTTCGTAACGTAACGTTGCAGTTCTGTTATTGCTTTATATCACGCTCTTGTAGAATCTTGATTACCTGCTTCCATATTACGTCACCTGGACAACAGACCGGACGCTGTACAGTCTTCAAACGTCTTTTGTTTCCATGACTGCTACAAGATAGGGGCTTTAAACCCCTGATAACTGAAACTGTATTAAAACATACACGAAGCTCAGAAGACGTCGTAAAACCAATAAAGAATGTGGACAACGTCTAGAATTTATTCTGAGACTATATATGTTGATTTTGCACATGGACAGTGGGTGTATATAAACCTTGCATTAAATTCCACAGTCATGTTAAAAATTACATCATGCGTAACAAAGTTCGAATGCCTGCTAATATATATATCCTTATTAATATATTTTCTTATATATTAACTTGTTTCTTTAAAAAAAGAGGCATTCACACCCAACACAATAACAAATGTGACATTATATATAAAATCATAATAAATCGTTTAATATTACAGCCTTCCATCCGATAATCTCAACTAAAACTCCAGGTTTTGCAATGGCTATATTATCACCTGTACTTCGAAAGAAATTTCCTAAAATTACTGACAAATGTACTTCTACTTTTGTGTTAGATAAGAAAACACAAATTAAACTGAGCAGATAGTGAAACAAAATATTGTTACTTATTTTAAAAATACTGTAATTTGGATGTGAATGTTAAGTAATTTTAAAATATGTATTTCGTACAAACGCAGATGGTTGTATAATGACAATGCTATTCTAGAGTTTGGAGCAACAAAACAGTCTTCACTTTCATTCAACAATACTTGTGAAGACCCTGAAGATGGCATTGATAGACCGAAACATTTAGAAATAGTTATAATTATAACTTGGGTTACTGTAATAACAAGAGGCTTCGTTATGCGTGTATGCGTATGTTGGCTTACAGCGCGAGAAAAGGCAAACCGATTTGCACCAAATGTGGCAAAATTCGCTCATTCATGAGACCATGATGACATTTTAGAAAGGTTAAAGACTCCAGAACAATACACTGAGTTTAAATCCCGGTCAGGGAAATTAGTGTGACTTGGAAGCTAAACACGATAGAAGATAAGACCAAAATTGTTTGTTTCGAAAAGATCACAGAAGCGAGAGCCAGAATCCCAAAAAACTGTCCTGTCTTTGAGTTCCAGTAAAGATGGTTTCATGAACGGAAACTGAGCACAGCATAAAAATGGCGCCAGGACCAAAGCTGTTTCCTCGGAGAGTAGACTAGCGAAACAAAGCCAAAAACCACGATAAATTGGCCATCTTCATAATCGTCACCGTGAGAAACTTAAGCCTTGCCATGCCAATATTGGTTCTAAGTACATTTCCCGCTTTGTTCTGCCCTAAATCCAGCCTGTACAGAGTATATTCCAAATTCGTTATGTTATCTGTTTTATCCTACTAAGAGGTAAACCTATCCTACTTCAATTTTCCTGTAATATGCACGGGAGAGGCACAAACCTTACATGTGTACCTCATTTTATACCACAATTGAGTTACTTTAGTAGAAATAATATGATCACAAAAGGAATTTATTATTCGTAAGATTTTGTGAATTTCTCTTTGATTGTAACAGACTTTGAAGATAATTGGTTTCTGGGATTTTGCGCCGTGTGGCCTGGTAGCTGCCTCTGAAGCGTCGGTAAACTCTTACCAGGCTACCCAGCGCAACATGCCAGAAGACAGAGAGATAGTCACTAATCGACGCCGTAAGAACTTGACAACTCACCAACAGACTTTACTGATAATTTAATAAATAATTCATTCCGTTTTCTGTTTCTTTTTCCAGGGATTTTCACTTTGGACCTAGCACTGGACAAGAAACTTAACAGGAAACAAAAATATGACTTAATGAACACGACGAATAAACCGGATCTTGCAAAATAACTGTAATTATATGATCATTAACAATTAAGTTTCTACGACAATCAACCCGAATGAAGGTCAAAATTCCAGTCAACTGACATAATCCACAAACGTTCTTAATGATTGGTGTTAAAAAGTTCGGACACAGGACATTAGCTCAGTGGCGCGATTATTAAAAAAACAATAATACTGCAGAATAATAAGAGAATAAAAGACTGAAAGTTTCGGTCTGAAGAAGGAACATCAATGCAGGTGATGATGAAAATCTTCATATACTAGCTTAATGTGACTTCACAGAACAGACCACTGAAGTAGCAATTAGGTAAACGACATATCAATACAAAAATCAACACAACTCGGACTACAGAGGAAAATCTACGAGGAGCAACATCTGAGGAAACATGAGTGAAGATTCCTCTACTCATTTCACCATTGTCACACTTCTTCTCGTAGCAGTCTTACTACCACAAGGTAAGACAGTCCATCCGTTGTACATTTGCATGTGGAAATGTCTTTCAGAGTTTAATGGGGGCCAAGCGGTCAGTACAGACCACGTATGAACATGGATGTTTTCTGGAATGTTGCGCAGTGTAGTCTGGTAGAAGTTTACCGACCTCTGAAACGTCAGTAAACTTCTACTAGACTACACGGCGCAACAACCCAGAAGACAACCACCTTCAGACCCACCGTCGGAAAACCTCAAATCCTACACAGCACGCATTAATCCCGATACAAAATCAAAATACACGGGCAACTAATAAAACATATCAACTGATGCAGACTTAAAGTATATTGGAGATTAAAATTACATCCACGAATACATTAAGAGAGTATTAAAATTTTGGAATGTTATCAATCAGGCTAGAAATTTTTATCTGTCTAAAAACATAAAGGTTAAATTCGACAAAAGTATAATTATATCTGGGATCAGAGGTTCTTACTGCAGCATATAAAACGATGAATGTCTTCCCGGGTAGTAGCATAGTGTGGACTTGACGATGAAGACAGTATGTTCATCCGAAACGTTGGTGTGTACCTAACAGTCGACAGAAGACAGTCATTTTATGATAGACCTAGTGTAAATACGCGGACTAAAATTATCCAAAACTGATCAACTAATTTTGCTTTTTTCTAAACCATGAAATGAATAAGATCATGAAGTGTCCCCCTCTTTAATTACGGTGTTAATAAATTAACCTAAGTAAAATATCTTCATTATTATACGAGGTGCGATCGGAAAGTTTCAACACTGCGCGTATAAAAACCCGTACACTTATCTCAAGTATTAAATTCATCCATCACCCTCGAAGTAGTTCCCCTGGGAGTGAACACAACGATCCCAGCGCCGCTGCCAAGCCTGGAAGCATCCCTGGAAATCTTTCTTTGCCAGCCTGTCAAGCACCATCTGCGATTCTGCCTGAATCTCTTCTATCGTCTCAAATCTCCTTCCCTTTAGCTGAATTGTCATCTTTGGGAAGAGGAAGAAGTCACACGACGAATAAGGATGGTGTGGGATGACGGCCATGGTGTCTGAGGCCAAAAACTGCCGAACTTTGAAGGCGGTGTGCGCTGGTGCGTTGTCATGATGCGTCGCATGTGGAGTTCTT